ATAACTGAGAAAGCATCACGGTGCGACAAAAAAGGCATGCATAAACTGTGTCAAGTCATTGTCATGTATCTTATTGCTTTAATTTGTTAATTTCGGCTAATAAAATTTCACTAATTTGGTGTAAAATTTCAAGAATAATCCGATCACGATTCCATTCACGTTCTCGAAACAATGGATGACAATAAATATCCTCTTTCAGGTTTGTCGTTTCCAACACACCTTTATCGGAATATTTTCGAAAAAGTTTAATAATAATAATAATAATCTTTATTTAAATAGGAAATCCTAATATACAAATATAAATAAAAATAGTAATACATACAAAAAATATGGAACATATATAGATGATAAAAATTGAAATAAAATGAAATGTAATTTCAACCTAGTACAATAAATAAATATTTCATAAAATATAATGAATATCTTCAACTTCTTAGTAGGACCTAAATCTCCATTAAAAACACTAAATTATAATTCATATTGACTAAACCATATAGATACTTTTGAGTCTTTCTTTGAAAACATGGATTGTGGTACTCGATCTGATTTCCATGGGTAGTTTATTATAATCAACTAAACCTTGGTGAAATAATGAATTCATAGTACCCTTCAATCTTGTAGGATTGATATGAAAATCATATCTACCTCTTGTTTCATGATTGTGAATTTGATGATTGAAAGTTATAAAATCTTTTAAGTACGTCGGAAAATCACAATGTACAACTTTGTAGATAAATATCATAGAGAAATATTTAATCCTATTCTTCACCATCATCCATTCAAGAACAGATAACATCAAATTAACCGGTGTTAATCTGTTACATTGAAGTATAATTCTCATTCCGCGGTTTGCAATTTTTGTAGGGAAGATACACCGTTACCATCCAATAGAGAAAGCAAACTCGCACAATAATCAAAATGAGGTTGTATGATTGTTCGGTGTACAGTGACAAATGACTGAAAAGATAAATTGGTCCTGATTCTAGAAAAGAAGAAAAGCTTTTTGACGATTTTTTTGTAAATGTACATAAAATGGGACTTAAAGTCTAGTGTATTGTCTACAATAACGCCAAGATATTTAATTTCATTTACAATTTCTATTTTGTCACCATAAATATGTTAATATCCTGATAATTAATTTGACTTTGTTTGTACTTGGAAGTAATAACCATAGCTTCAGTTTTCTGATGATTGAGCTTCAACTTATTTATATTCAGAAATGATGATATTTTATCCAGAGCCCTATTTACTTTACCTATAGCAATATCCAAATCTTCATCACTTGCTGCAACAAGAGTATCATCTGCAAAAAGTTTTATGAACTCAACATCTTCGATGAAATTGATATCATTCAGATAGAGTATGAAAAGAAATGGTCCTATAACACTACCTTGAGGAACACCCGTGTTAATACATTCACTAGATGAAACTTTTCCATTCACTTTGGTCAGCTGAGATCTATTAGTAAGATAAGATGTGAACCAGTCGAATACCTTTCCACCTACCCCATAATATCTCATTTTTTGCAGCAATATGTCTATATCAATGGTTTCAAATGCTCTCTTGAAGTCAAGAAAGACTGCTACAATATATTTGTTTTCATCCTTGATTAGTTTCCACTTGGACAGTGTGAACTGTATAGCAGTTTCGCATGAATGATTGGCTCGAAATCCTGACTGATGATCCATAATAATATTGTTATGTTCAAAGTACTCTCTTATTTGGTTATAAGCAGCTAATTCGATGACTTTTTCAATGGGTGGTAATGTGTTAATAGGACGAAAATTAACTGGATCATCAGAATTATTTACTTTAGGAACAGGAATAACTGTGCTCGTTTTTAATTCATGAGGAAATTTGCCAGTTTCAAATGACGTGTTAATTAAGTTCAAAAAGACATGACCTATGACTTGAAAAACACTTTTCAGAACTCTATTATTCAGTATGTCCGAGTTGCACTTGTTATCCAAACTAGTTACTATTCGCTGTAGGTCATTGAGACTAAGTAATTTGAATTCATTGAGCTCACAATTCATATTGGGCAAGCCAATGTCTGACCAATTATCCGAAATAGGAATGGTGGATTTTATCTCTGATATACTATGTATGAAGAACTTATTGAAATTTTCTGCTTTATCTTCATCTGTTCTGGAAAGTGTAGGAATGCCATTATTTGAAAAAACAATATTTTGAGTTAAATTGGCATTTTGGGGTTTTAACAGGGTTTTCAGAGTTTGCCACATTCTTTTAGGATCAGCCATGCTGTGGTCTATTTTATTTACATAATATTCGCGTTTTTTCAGTTTCAAATTATTTACTACTTTATTCCTGAAATACTTGTATTCATCCCAAAATGCTTGTTTCTCACAGATATTGCAATTTGCGAATGATTTATAAGCTTTATCCCTCTTTTTAGCAAATTCTGAGATTTCATGATCGTACCAGGGTAATCTGTTATCACAAACAAATGTTTTCAGAGGAGATATCATTTCCATATTCAGTTGCACGTTCTCAATGATGTTAGAATATAGTATATCTACATCCGTAGAATTCATCTGCCACTCAGCTAATATCAGATTGTTATTCAGTTCGTTTAAGCAATCCCCATCCACTCCTTCATCCTCACCTCCAGCGCACTAGAGGTAATTCTTATGATGTTCGAAGAACATCGTGCGTACCTATAGGGAAGATAGGGACAAGAGGTAGAGGAATTTTTTCTTGACATTTGGGGGTTATGAGTTCTCGAAAATACCATTGACAATAAATTTCATATAGGTTTGCCGTTCTATAGACGAACGAGTTTTGGTAGAGTTTTGTTCGACATATTTCAAGGTTGACAACGGAAGAATGTGCTAACTGAGCCTGTCGAGTTCGTCTGAGTATTATTGCTACACAGTGAGAAATTTTCGGTCCGATTCAATCAACAGTTGTTTAGCAATATCATATCAATATTATTGTAAATTCGATAATTTTATGAACATTGTGTACAAATGACTTTCAGCTTTTTGTATTTATTTGAGTAAATCACTAGTTGGCTTTGGTGGCGGAAGCCATATTGTCTATCATTATTGATTCCTGAGCTTCCCAGATATTTGATATAGGTATATGTTTTTTCTTATATTCATTTTCATATGATAGATTGTTTCTATTCCTATTGTTCATTCCATTTTTCCATTTCCACGATTCTATGAAATAGAAATACACCCACTTTGATTTTTCTTGAATCTTTCACGACAGCGTCACCTATAACGATTCCTAAAATAATAATCAACAAAACGCTTTAGTTGTTTCAAAGTCACAACTAGCAGTGGTGGTTAGTTTCCGTAAAAATGCTCTTACCCATCGATTTTCATTTTTTGATGCAATTTTTTTGATGTTCATCAACTTCATTTTTTCAAAAAGAAACATTTATTGTGTTTCTGATTTTAGGATATTTGAATTGGTTTCTCATTTGATGTGAATTTAATGACTGTTCGGGAAACTCTGTAATTTCACTTTGCCGACACAGAAAGCAATAGAAATTCGATTGCAATTATATGCATATGAATTGAAAATAAATTTCAGAAGATTGTCTACATTCTTTGAATTCGACAAAACAAATTGGCATTCAATTGGAAAGTTGAAGAGCATCCTCTGTATGTGAAATCTTACCTGATCGATTAGATATTGTTGCATCGTATACTCAACACCATACGGTATCAAAATGTCTTCAATAATTGGTATATTGTGATGGAGGTTTCATCAGCGTTATAATACAAGAGTATAGATATATGTATAGTATATGTATAAAAAAGTATATAAATAAATAAGTGAAACAATATATTATCATCTGCAAAATAATTGATTTCCACAAGACCCAACTGTGCATGCTTTTGGACCAATTTTTCCGGTAGATATTATTCAACTTCCAAGTTTTTCATGAAACATCCTGTTTTCATTCAATCCAAAATTCGAAAGAACGATATTTGATTAATGCTATCAGTGCAACTCATTTACGATCACACATCAGAAGAGGACAATAATATATGAAGTTGAGCAAAATAAGTGAAACGAGCGGGAGTTTTGAGGTTAGATATTTTTCTCATTTCTGCTGAAAAATCGAATTTTCTATGCGGAAGAGTTCTGAAAAATGCAAAAACTCTTCATGATAGTATCATTCATAATAAAACTTTCATAGTATATATACAGGGTGTTTAAAGAAAACCTAACCCCCTTGCTAGGGTAGGTAGAACACTGCAAAATAAGTTGGGTTTGCTCAGTGAAAAAATGTCGTAACGGCATTCGTTTTCATGATTGTTGATGTTGAAAAATTGATTTTTTCACACATTTTTCACGATTATGTCGAAACTACTGGCAACATTGTAATGAAATTTTGTATGAATCACATGAATTTGTTTTTATATCTGACTCTCATAGAGGGCGCTAGTTACAGGGTTCGTACATAGTAGTATTGAACATAACTTTTTTGAGGTTATATTTTTCGATGCAAATATGATATGAACCCGAACATCATTCAATTTTACACCAAAAAGGTACTGTTGGTGAAACTCGATACTATGTTCCATTTTCGGAATATTTCGATTTGAAAATAATGGAGTAATAGCTGATGCTGGTATAAAATGAATTTTATTGAGCTCAATTACCTATTTATTCAGATTCAAAAATAATAAAATTTCATTGAAAGCGATTAAATGGTTCAATATACGACGAACATATTTCGATCCTATAGAAGCTCATCATCAGCTGAATATATAAACAATTCTACAATAAAATAAATATCGAAATCTAGCTCTATTCAAGTACTCACATATAGAGGAAGAAGAATTACATCATTTAATCAAAACATGAAGAAATTATGAAGACAGGTATTCATTCCATTGGAATATCTCAATTCAAGTTATACGAAATAAAAAAATGTACACAAGAAATCACTCGTTCGTTGAATACTTTTATGTGAATGACATACTCATATATTATTCTCAGAAAACCTTGGTACTTACCAAAAACATTCCCAACCTGTTGATCGTCTTATTCTTCTCACACCACACAATCTTGGGTACATTCAGATGGCTATTAGAACGAGGGTCACATGCTGTGTGTTCGAGATGCATTTAAGAGAAGGGATTCTTACTGCATTCGTGCAATAGATAATTATTGATGGCATCCTCTCTATATTCAATACATCCGCTCACCCTGAGACAGTTTAAGTAGGTGTCATCATCGCCTACTCAGTATAATACAGTGTGAATCTTAAGGTGTCTCTTTCCCTCTCGTTAACTTTGGAACCTAGCGGGACAAATTGATTCATTGGTATACCTGAATATGTCCCTCATATACAGGGTATTTGAAAAAAAGCTTGACCCTCTCATGCACTTGGGTTTGTTCAGTAAAAATTGTCGTAACGGCATCCAATTTCAAGATTGAAAGTGTTGAAGAATAGTAATTTACGTAACAAGTTCGGAAAATACTGTTTTTTTGGGCGAGTAGACGAAGTTCTAGGCCGAGTTGTAAGCGAGTCCTGGAAGTCTGTGAGTCCAAAAAAACTGTTTTTGGACGTATCGCGTACACTATTTTTGAACAAATCAATGAGACACATTTTCATATTATATTTCTTTGTAGAATACAATTTCTTGTTTATTAATTCTCATTTGTATCAAATACTGAAATTTGAACAGAATACATTTACTATTACTAACTGTTGCATTGGAAATTTCGTATCGTCACTATCGCAGCTGCTTTCGATATATAAATGATCCTCCAAAGAATTGACCAGAACTCTTTTGTTTCCAAGTTGTTAAAAATACCTACCATTTTTCATTTCTTACGATAAATTTGAGATGATTGAACCAAGTTTGCTTCATTATACCTATTTATCGTTCTCTGTAGTGGGAGAAATGAGAGGACGCGTCCCACATATTATGAAAAACCCAGTGTGAAAAAATCTAGCTATGTGATTATACCAGTAATAGTTTTCAGAATTCACGAATATTGGTCAAGAAATAACCAAGTTACAAGGGTGGACATTTTTGGAGTATCACTCTGTATATTTCGAAAGATCCTAGTAATGTTACAAGAGAGTAAACAATAATGAAACAGGAATGTTATGAAATCGTCCAGGGATATGTACTTTTTACATTCCGAAATGAAGAAATGGTACGTAAAAGCGTTATCGCAAATACTATTTGAGAATGTACTTTCACTGTAATAAAGCTGTTTCATGACACGTATCAGTTTCGACTCATACTCAACGTACTTGCGGCGTCCTGCGATATTGTACTGTTGGTGGACATATAACGACTCTAAGATAATCTTTGAGATGCCAATAGCACCAAATTCACAACGTAACAACGTATCTTGGTTACAATGAAATAACGTTAATAGTATGAGTTCTTGCACAGTGGGTAGTTTATTGCGATAATTGCAACCAAACTTTCAAAAATCAAAATGTCACCGAGTTCCATGTCAAATAGCTGTCAGCCGATATTTCGCTGCTATGACAATTAGCATCTGCATTAATCAAAACCATATCTACCAAGTTTTTCATAGTTATATCAATGAAGCTGCAATAGTTCGGAAAGTATGAGACTACAGTATAGAGAAATATAGTATAGTTTGGAAGGGAATTGAATTCTGCATTACTTGGAACGAAGAAATACTGGGTGTTCTATTTGAATTAACCAAGTTATTATAGTTTGAAATCACAGTGAGATTACCTGGCAATATAAAACACCCCGTATAGTATTTATCGACCACTTATGCCCCATCTATTAGCTCGAAGTAATCGAAGTATACTGTTGAAAATTGGTACATTCAAATTATCGTGCTTCAATGATATTAAGGTTTTGTTAATACCTTACATTTTTAGAAAAATTTAAAAATCCCGAAAATTAAGAGAATTAGGTATGGGGAAACCCCAGCAAAGTTAGTTCATTTTTCATCGTAGAATTCAGAAATGCAATGAAATATAGGGTGTTCCATTTGAAAAAGAACAACTCTTATATGCCACCTTCTCTCGAGACACTCTGTATTCATCACACCATTTTCAAAATGTAGTCCAGATCGACATAATTTCGCCTGAATGAAGTTATTTCTCAGAAAGTTCACCGTTTTGCCATTATTGCCCGATGCGTTCAGGTTGACTCACCCTGTATTCAAATTGCATTCGGTTATTTTCATATTATGTAAAAGAGACCTCCTCCTTCGGACGAAAGAGTCCAACTTTCGCCAGAATATGAAAATATGCTCCTGCAATTTTTAGATAACACTCTTTCTTGCAAAATTATCGGTAATTATTATGCACCTGATGTGCAATTATAACCGATAATTCATTGAAAATCCTTCAAGAGGCATCAATCATTGATGAATCTGCTCTGACGGGTCGATCATCTTTTAAAAACCTCTAACGAACCACTGACATACATTTCCATTCATAGACCAATTATTAGAAACAACACAATTTCTGATGCCTTGGATAGCACTGTTATGGATATATTGTTATATTGTAGCGAACATAAAGTCATTCCGGAGATGTTTATCAGATTGTCATGGGCACAGGAAGTTAGTATTCCGATTCAGTTTGGACCTTGTTACGAAACAGACATTTAACTATTACCTACTTCAATGTCATAGTCGTCACAAAAAAATTGTTGGTAGCATCATCATAAATTTATATAAATGTTTTCCATTGTCATTAGTGAAGGTAGTAGTCCATCCTCGAAGTGGAGTTTGTAGTTACCAATAGTAAAACACCTAGTTATCTCGACAAAGTATATTTTTCCAAATTATGAGTAAGAGAAACATGTTTCTTTTTATATATGCCCATCATCAGTTTCGTGAAAACAAGAAAAATATTACATGTTTGGAGATGACATTATAGACGATACATATGAGAAAAAATTACATTTTAATATCATTAAAAACTCATCATTCCCATCATGGGTGGCGAAAAGACCAGTGCCTTGAATTTTTTTGGGAATAACAACAAAGTCGCTTTTCCTCTAGCCCATAATTTGGGGAAGTCTTTTCCGTTTTGTTTCCAAAGGTCCGTTACGGAAAAGAAATGAAACCTGTGGATTGATTCCTATATTGTTTTTTATCCTAAAATTATAAAATTAAAAAATGTTTGTATATAAATCGACAAATTCAGCTGAAGATGCAACTGTTATGTATTTCATTGTGTTTTACACCAATCTCACGTTAGTAAGTACTTTTTTTAAATGTATTATTGACAAAGTTTTTTCACTTACTCATTTTTTTATACATGTCTTGATAAAGGAAATAAACATTTCCGAAAGCTCGGCTAAGTAACAAAGAGTCCTCTCATTAAGGCCAAAATTTTGACTGCAACCTCACCTAGAAAGATTTCCTTTGGAACTGTTACTAAAGTTATTGTATATTTTATATATTCATATATACATATACACTGTTGATAGCTTTTGTTGTGCTAGCTACGAAAAATAAGCCAATAATACCGTCTCCAAGAAAGAACTGCAAGTCCTTTTATCTTTTATTCCACTTCGCGGTTACGTAAATTACAAAACGACCACTAAGTTTGATTTTTTTTTAATCATATCACAGAATTGACAGATATTAGGTTATTTTAAAAGAATGATGAAGATGCCTGCAAGAAGATGCCTGCAATACAGGAATATCAAATTTCAAGTTGATGATTTTCTGATCTTAATATTTAAATGTGATATCTTCTCAATATTGATACGTCCCTCTTTCTGAAGTGTATATATACACCAGAAAGATATTAGATTTTAGCTCACGGTTTTTTGTCTATCTCTGCTGACAACACACCCTAGAGCTTCAATCTACAAATTGTTCTCCTTGTTCAATAAATATGCGTTCAATTATCTGGGCTTTTCACACCTGAAAGTACTCTCATATCCACTTCGCATTCCTAATGAAATCGATGTTCACATTAATCATAAAATCAGTGAGTGTAAAACAGATCCTATTTTGTTAGCACTGCTGAACTGCAATCTATATAATTTCCGGGTTGTAAAATATACTTTTTGCCATATTATTTCATTATCTCATCTAATCACTGCCTACTTTATGGCTCCATTACAAGTTTAGACTATTTCACTAGCTTTCTCAAGGAAGATGTAAACTTCTGGAAATTCAGCAGATTTGAAGGTATGGAAATATCTACTTTTTTGTGAATATTCAGATCGCCAATTGAGTCACACAATATCATCCACATATTTTTTTTTCATTCTTCATTTCAATTTCTTTCACTTTTTGATTATGATCTTGGAAATACACAAGCATATACCTCAGAAATATGAAGGCCAGGTAGAGTTGATATTTCGAAATCTTGGAAGAAGTTTCTATAACAACTACGAATTTGACTTCCAAGCAATACATTTATATTGCGCTTTTGTGCAAATAATATGTCTAATGACAAAAAACAAGAGTTTCCCCATGAGACCCTACCCTCATATCTGCTTGAGGACACATCAAATTCTGATATAGATTAGACAGGAAAGACGTTAACAGAAATTTCCGATGTCCCATTCAGTTCAAGTTTTTATCGAAAGTTTCATCAAAGAATTTCTCTCGGTATTGTATACAGTTTCTTTATATAAATGTTCAAATCATCATCACATTTAATTTGTTCGGTTTGGAACTCATGATCAAGTTCATTTTGTATTCTGAAGGAGAGTGATTGACTTATTCATATCATGTTAGAGGTGTATCTTATACACTTGATATCCTATCTACCTAATTAATATAATATAATAAAAATAACACAGGGCACACAAGAGACCCATATGCACCCCTGTGATATTCTAATAAATACATTCGCAGATTTTTATTCATGAGCCGTAGATCCATAGTTTGCTTTCAGTCCTACGTTCTTTTTCTTGAATAAACTGAGTTGGAATTGTGATTCCTGAGTTATTTTGTATATAATCAGGTTAGTCCCAGCAGGATTGCATTATCTAAAATTTGTTTGTTGACATTGACAAATGGGACACATTAGCCGTAGATCCATTGTTTGAGAGCAGAATAGTAGATTGTTTTATTAGGATCAAAAGTGACACTTTGTTTGACAAGCGAATTTTGCATTTGCGAGGCGGAGCGTTTAGCGAAGCCGAGCGAAAGCAAAATTTGCGAGTCGAACAAAGTCACTTTTGATCCGAATGAAACA